AAAAAGCCGTTTTGTTAACTTATCAGCAGTGAGTGACTTCTATAAGGGGCAGGACTGTGAGCAGAGAGAATATGGTTCCCTTCAAACTCGATGGCTGGTTTTTCCAGCTGGTGTTCTTGAGCTTCTGCATCTCTAGGCACTTCAGGTGGTCACTAAATCTCTGTTAACCCCATTCACAGATTTTGAATGTATTTACTATTAAATCAAAACACGATTTTAAATGACATATGAATATCTGACCATTTATACCAAAATATGTATAGTCTTGTCTTCAAACCATCTCAGCTAACCTTTATGTCATTTTGAATTCTTACCAGTCTGCTGTGAAGAAGATGCTTGTGAACTTAGAATCAGAACTCGCTGGATCAGGAGAATATATATGAATCGTCACCATCCTTATGTCTCAGGCACTTTGCCAGGTGCTTCACATGCATCACTTTATTCAGTCCTCACAGTACCATCATGATTTAAGTAAATTAAAGGATACATCTTAAAGATTAAAATCATGACCCTAATACAAATATAAACTGAACACATGTCCAAAACTTTATTTAACTTATTAATTCATGAGGAAACCAGTAAGATGTTATAACTGATTCAAAGGAGAATTCAAAGAACTACACGTATCAAGGCAATTAGCACTGCTGAAACAAAGTTATGAAAAAATGTAAAACAGGTGACTATCCAAAGCAATGATCAATTGCATTTCCATGGACACCATTTGCATATCTAGGGACAAGAATCCTTTGAATTACCGTGAGTGTTTTACATGTTTTGAAGTTATAAAATAGCTCAAAGACAAAAGTAGAGATAACCTAGGAGAATGCTCTAAACAGGACACCCAGGATTCTGCCCACTCCAAAGTGTTTCCCTGTTGTTGTTTCAGTGTTTTCCTGACAGTATTATTCCAACTCCATAGGCCTTAGAACTCAATACATGAGAATAAAAGATCAGTGTAATATATATAAGATCTCCAATTTTTGGAAAAATTATCTTTAAAAAAAGCAAACAATCAAAGAATATTAGATCTGGATCAAACATTGCAGATCAAACTTCATATATGATAGACAAAAGAATCCGAGGTTAAATAATTTGCCAAAAATCATAAAGCTGGTTGTTGGCAGACCAAGGAGAGAACAGAAAGTAGGACTTTGCCCTAGAGTGTTATTAAAATGAACAGAAACAAAAATTTAAAAACCTTGTGTGTTAAAACAGACTTTAAATACAGGGGTGGGCAAAAGCAGGTTTACAGTTGTGAGTTCATTCTTGTATTATTTATTTATTATTGTATTATTTATTGCTACTATTAACCTACTTTTGCCCACATCTGTACATTATACTTAATGAATTACTCCTCTAAGATACAAATGAACCGAAGCAAACATCAGTTAGGAAAATTCCCTAAGATCACATAGTTCAGGATAAGATCAGAGACTGTGTTAGTATGGGAAAACCTACTTTCTCCCAGCAGGGCAAATGTAACAAACTCACATTGCTTAATTACACAAATGGTACATTCATTTTAAAATTACAAATATGTTTTCTACCTATAAATTTTTTTTAAATATGTTTTTATTGATTTTAGAGAGAGAAGAATGGAGAGGGAGAGAGAGAAACATCAATCAGTTGCCTCTTGCATGCCCCCTCCTGGGGATCAAGCCTGCAACCCAGGCATGTGCCCTGACCCAGGATGAATTGGCGACCTCTAGGTGCATGGGAGGACACTCAAACAAGTGAGCCACACCAGCCAGGGCTCTACCTGTAAGTTTTCACTGAATGGATTATTGTTTGATTCAGTACATCTGCAAGGAGACATTCTCTGAAAAGACATACTCATCAAGTGCCACTCTCCTTTTTAATTAAATCAAAGTATTCCCTTGCCTTAAGGATACATTATCAAAGAGATTACTTCAATTACAGACTTGAACACTGATTTAGTAAATTAAGGATGTGCCTGACATTGAATCCAACAGATAGCTAACCTGAGTACTACAATATTTAAATTAAAAATCAAGTCAAGATTTGATTCATATATATAAAAACAAATCAAATTTTTAGAGTTGTTTTTCTTAGTTACTTAGGCTACTGAAATGTCAATATAGGTAATCAGCATGGCTTTATTTAACACACTTTAGCAAGTGGGAAAGTCCTGGAAACCCACCAATCTGCTTATCCAGAGTGGCATTACCTAAATAACAAATAAGTAAATAGATATTATAACTTACTGTTCAGGGAAATAAGCAGACTCCTGTGAGAGACTCCATATAGCTCTGTTCTTTGTACTCATCCAATCTATGTTCTCTGCTGGCAAGAGCACAGGCTTTTCAATGAGATTTGCTTTCCAGGTACATCTTGCATTTGGAAAAATTAAAGTAAGAAGGACAGCTGTGAAATCTTTTCACTGTACAGTAGGTCCTCAAATAATGGGTTCATTCAACCTTATTTCATCATTATATTGATGAGATACTGTAGGAACTTAGTTCTTGTTTGTGTTCTCCCAATTTATATACTGAAATTCTACATCCCCCCCCCCATTTGATGGTATCAGGAAGTGGGGGCCTTCTGGAAGGGATTAGTGACCTTATAAACGGGACTCCAGATGTGTCATTGGCAAATACATTCTCCCATATAGTTGGTTCCCTTTTCATTTTGTTGATGGTTTCTTTTGCTGGGCAAATGCTTTTTAGTTTGATCTAGTCCCATTTGTTAATTTTTTCCTTTGTTTCCCTTGCCCTAGGTGATATATAGGCAAAAATATTGCTACGAGATGTCTGAGATTTTACTGCCCATGTTTTCTTCTACGATGTGTATGGTTTTGCAACTTGCATTTAAGTCTTTTATCCATTTTGAGTTTATTCTTGTGTATGATGTAAGTTGGTGGTCTAGTTTCTTTTCTTTTTTTTTTTGCATGTACCTGTCCAATTTTCCCAACACCATTTATTGAACACTATCTTTACTCCATTGCATGCTCTTGCCTCCTATAATATTTATGGTCAAATATTAATTTCCCATAAAGGCAAGAGATAATTTCCAAAATACATAAAGAACTTAAACAACTCAACACCAGGAAGACAAATTATCCAATTAAAAATGGGCAAAGGACCTGGATAGACGCTTCTCCAAAGAGGATATACAGATGGCCAATAGACTTATGAGAAAATGCTCAACATCACTAATCATCAGAGAGATGCAAATTAAAACCACAGTGAGATATCATCTCACATCTGTCAGAATAGCTGCCATCAACAAATCAACAAACAACAAGTTCTGGTGAGCATATGGAGAAAAGGGTACCCTAGTACACTGCTGGTGGGAATGCAGACTGGTGCAGCCACTATGGTAAACAGTATGGAGTTTCCTCAAAAAATTAAAAATGGACCTGCCTTTTGACCCAGTGATCTCGCTTTTAGGAATATATCCTAAGAATCCCAAAACACTGATTTGAGAGAACATATGCACCCCTATGTTCATTGCAGCATTATTTACAATAACCAAGATCTGGAAACAGCCATATCCATCATCAGTAGATGAGTGGATAGAAAAGCTGTGGTACATTTACAAAATAGAATATTACGTAACTGTAAAAAAGAAGGAAATCCTACCTTTTGCAGAATATAAGGAGCCCTATTGCTCTCTACCCTTACCAGCATATTCAAATATTTTTTAAACTTTATTTTTAAGATAGAGCTATCTATCTATCTATCTATCTATCTATCTATCTATCTATCTATCTATCTATCCTCTTAAAGTTTTTTAAAGCTCATTCTTTTAAAGTTTTACTTCATCAAATTAGACTTAGCTTCCATGGCATTGCTTCATGGATGTACCACTATATTTTGAAATCCCCAGTGTCAGTAATATTTCATAGAGATAAAAATGTCCACACAGGAATCCCCATACAAAGCAAACAAACATGTAAGAAAAAAATTTAAACTTTCCATCCTTTTATTGTCTCCATTTTTATATTCATAGGAAGGAAAAGCTAAGAACTAAGAACTGGAGGTGGTTTTATGGCCACTTATTAATAGGATGCACACTCGAAGACCTATGATATAGGTTCTTTTCACTTTAAAACCCTCACCTATTTTGTAAAAAAGAAAAAAAAGGTCATTTTTGTTAGAAAACAGTAATACAGAAAAATTGCTGTAGAAAGAAAGGATACTCTCCCTCAGTAACTTTTTCTTGTACTTTTAAATAAAGCCTTACTAGCAGAACACTCTCTTCCCCAATATGCACCCTAAATTGTTGTGTTCATGTACAATTTTCTCTCCCTCAGCTTGCAACAGGAATCAGTGACTTAAGAGACAGAATGGAATTAAGAACTAAATTGTACTGTGCTCTGTAGGGAATGCAAATACTTATAGCATAAACTTTTAATATTAAACAGTAACAAATCTGCCCATTACCATAGCTGACAATTGTCATGAGGATACATTCACAGTGTTGCGACTTTATGTCTGACTCACCCTTCCATTCTTATTCCATTCTTAACTCACCTGTTCCATTCAGTATTACTTTACAGCACACCATGCGCAGTTCGCCTAACTTTGCCCTGAGTTGGCACCAAGCAAGTGGAAATGAAAATATCTTTCGCGTCAGTCTGTCTTGCCTCACAACATTCTCAAGCTGTTTTCCCCATTTCAGCATTTCAAGGGCAGTTCTGTCCTCTTAAAGCTGGGTTTCCATGGAAGAAGTGCCTGCAGAGTTGATAATCGAAGAAAGAAAGGAGAAAATGAAATTCACCTGGGCTGACCAATTGACAGAAGAGGTCAATCCAATGTCAAACAAAGGATATTTCAAAAGTTCATCTCAATGGATGTTTGTTTTATAGAAAACCCAGCCAGAAATGCCCTGAACCCAGAAAATTGTTCTTATGGGCTTTGAGTTTGCATCTTAAGGTTATTTTTAGAGCATATATGTTGGTTTTCAATTGATATAAATAGAGAGAAAAAACAACAACAAACCACCGAGTTGAGGAACTGGAATAACTTGAGCAGAGTGATGAGGGGGTAGGGTATGGAATAAAATGCCACTTCTTCATATAGAAAAATGTTCTATTTCGGAAAAACAAAACTTTCCTGGTTCTAAAAAAAGTCATTTCAGCATTGCTTGTTTCGTTCAATTTAGCAGTGGAGGTATAGCAGTTCTAATTTCTCAAATGCCAAATGGTCGTTCCATTGAAGAGAAAAAAATATGTAATTAGGTGTGTATAATTTCCTTGGAATGAAATTAGGTTCCAGTTTAATTCATCCTCTGCCCATCATAGTATGGAAATTGCCAGGTTTTTTTTTGTGTTTTTTTAGTCTAATAGAAAAATGAGGTTTCCTTATATTTTAGGATCTAATACAATTGAATTTGTGCTGGGAAACAGTATTCACATCGTTCCAATGGAAGCTTTTAGCAAAGACTTGTGTCTGACTCAAAGAACATTTTTATTCCTACTGAAAACCAGGTGGTGTTTCTCCTCTTTCTGTCGACAGGTAAACCTCTGATAGAAGGGTAGCCGAGGCAAGCTGCAGCAATTCAACATCACTGCACTGCAGCCAGAAGCTGGAGGATTACGTGTATTGGGACTCCCCCAGCAAAGGAAACTATTTCTGATAATACACAAACGTGCCATAAAATAGTAATTCACAGCCTTAAGATTGCTCAAAACAACATGCGTCTTAGACAAATGAGACATTATCAAGCCCTGATTAAAAGAAAAATAGGGCAAGGCTATATGCTACACATGTCCCTTGTAATAACATATCATTAAAATCTCATAACAATCCTATGAAATAGTTACTATTATGTCCATTTAACAGATGAGGAAACTGAGACTGAGATATGTTCATTTATTTCCCCAAGATCAAACAGCCATCGTGTGTTGGAACTGTGATTTGAATCTACATTTTGAAAGTCACTTTATTGCCCCTGATCCTACACAAAGTCCTCTAGGCCAAATAGGCAATACTCTTATGATGGAGGGATTGAAATATAATATTTCTGTGATTCCCATATTATTAAAAGTATGATATTTTATAAACAAACTAGAATAAAATGTTTTTTATTTCTTTATCTTCACCTGAGGATATTTTTTCCATTGCTTCCAGAGAGAGTGGAAGGGAGAGGAAGGGAAACATTGATGTGAGAGAGACACATCAATTGGTTGCCTCCTGCACTTGCCCCGGCCCCGTGGTACGTGTGCCCTTGGCCAGAACTGAACCCAGCACCCTTCATTCTGCAGGCTGACACTCTAACCAGTGAGCCAAACCAGCCAGGGCTATAAATAAAATTTTAACATTCCCTATAAAGTAGCACAAGGTATAAATTTGGTATTTTGAAATGAGTACATGCTTCAAGATTTCATCATTCTTGTTGTTTTTTTAATTTATCTTTATGTTGAAAGTATTACAGATGTTCCTCCCCCCCATTGGTTTTTTAATGGGCAAGTGGTCTAGGTTTCCCTAACATAGCTGTGAATGTAGGATCTAGGGCCTCTTGTTGTCTCTGAACTATTTCACAATTCTGTAAATTGCAGAAAAGTTAGGATAATGTACATGATTCTTGTCTTTAGAAACATCAATGAATTTTGTCCAGAGGAATACAAATGATCATTACCCTGTGGATACTGACCAATTTTGCACCCGTGAGTAAATTTACTTCAGCATTCCTGATTGTGCGTGTGTGTGGTTTGAATTCTCCTTTGAACCAGCTGTAACATCTTACTGATCCCTCCATTATTAAATGAGTTAAATAAAATCTTTGGCACATGTTCATTTTGTATTTGTATATGACTCATGACTGTACCATTACTTTTTTTCCTTGGACACTTCCTTTATTTCTTCCTTCCATTTGAGTATCTATTACAGGAGCCAAGTCCAAATTATCCAAGAGCCTATCACTAAGAATCGTCATCTCACTTTCGATTCTTAAGAGTTTTGGCCACATCCTTATGCACATGACCGTTTAAATCAACTCAATACATAATATTGTGCTAAGTATTTTAGGAAAAATAAAGATGACTAAGATAGTTTCCTCACTCAAGAGGCAAACATTATTTAGTACAGAGATTAAGAAATGTTCATAGCCCAGCCGGGCGTGACTCCAAGGTTGAGCATCGACCTAGGATCTAGGAGACTGTGGTTGGATTCCCGGTCAGGGCACATGCCCTGGTTACAGGCTCAATCCCCAGTAGGGGGTGTTCAGGAGACAGCTGATCAATGACAACTCTCTCATCATTGATGTTTCTCTCTCTCTCTCCCCCTCTCCCTTCCTCTCTCTGAAATCAATAAAGATATATTTTTTAAAATGTTCACAGATAATCATAAGGCAGAAAGTCTTTGAGTGCTTTGGAGATGCATATAGATTTAGAACAATGTGTGCTAAATGTATTCTTAAACAAAATACTAAGCTTGCTAAAAGAATGAAAAGGAATAGAAAGAAGGTGTTTTCTTGTGGCAGCAATAGGAAATATTTCATGGAAAAGGTATAAGTTGAAGTATGTCTTGAAGGGATTTCTAAAAGTAATATGGAAGGGTATTAGAAGAGGAGCGGTTCCTCCAAGTTGAAGGAAAAGCATAAGCTTAAATAAGAAGGGTGGAGGGCATAAATAGGTAACAAGTAATCTGATTTACCAGGTTAAGATGTTAGAATAGTGGCATTATTAGAAAGTAAAAATAAATGAAAATAAAGCAGGGGTGCGGAGGAGGTAGTACAGGATGGGCAGGTGTGTAAAAGTAATTTAGTTTTAAATTTCTTACTGTCTTGTATGTCCAAAAGGAGAGAGAGACTGGTTTTATTTTTTAAGGTTAAATTTAAGAAGCAGGATCACATACATTCTAGTTCTGGGGGGTTCCTGCTTCTCAGTGTCCTGATCCGCTAATTGGTTAGTTTCACCAGTTTCCAGAAAGGTAACGGAAATCACCATCTTTGTCTCTAAGGCATACAAGTGCCATCTAGTGGTAAAAGGAGGCTATCACAGGAGTGAAACCTAGAAAACATTTACTTTTTTTTACTTGTTTATTTTTCACTTGCTATATTTATATTATGATTAGCTAATAAAAGTGGGCCACATGCTAACTGGAACAAGAAATAAAGTAGTCTAAGACAACACTGTTTGGCCACTGGATTAAGAAAATGTGAAATGAGATTAAAAATGGACTATAGACAAAAGGCTTATTAAATGTGAAACATTTGAAAATTTCACGTCAGGGACTTAACATCAAATTGTATTTTGGAATGTACCTTAAAGCAGGATTTACTTATGTTTTTAGAGACAGCTGAGAGGTAAGTGAGGAAGGGGCTGAAATCCTGAAGGTAAGGGTACTCTACCAGAATGCCCTCTCCTTCCTCTTTACCTGACTCCTCCTTAGCCCTCAGATCTTAATACAGATATAAGTTCGTCTGGACAATGTCCCTTGACCTCCCAGGTCTGTATTAGAGGAATTACTTATGTCCGCCCGCAAACTGTGTTCCCCAGGATGCTACTCACCACACTCCACTGTCACTTCCCGTTTTCACCTATAGCCCTCATTACAGTCTAAAACTCCTTGACAGCTGGTACCACATCTGTTTTATTTACTGTTGTATCCATAATGCTTAGGATAGTACACATACAGGTTGGTGCAAAAGTAGGTTTACAGTTGTTCATACGGAAAATAACACAGTAATTAATAAATAATGATACAAGAATAAACTGTGTTTCCCAGACGCACTACCGGAAACCTGCTTTTGCCCCACCCTGTATAATATGAACTCTGAAAATACTGTTTACACAATGAATGGGTAGATGAGTGAAAAGAATACATGTGAGGAACAGAGATGGAAAGTTAATATCAGTAAAGCTTAAATGAAAACATTAAATATTTTCAGGAAAATTAGTAGACAAAACCTTTTCTTTATTCATTGTATATCTATTCCCTACATGATGTCAATTTTTGTGTGATCTCTGGTGCTTTATAGTGTTCAGAGTACTTAACTTCTCTCTACCTCAGTGGGGGAAAAATAGCAGTACACAGCTCCCACTGTCGTTGTAGAGATTAAATAAAAGACTACGTAAAGCCCCAGCAGTTTGGCTCAGTGGTTAGGGAGTTGGTCCACAGACTGAAGGGTCCCAGGTTTGATTCTGGCCAAGGGCATGTACCTTGGTGGCAAGCTCGATCCCTGGGCCTGGTGGGGGCACGTGCTCAGGAAGCAACCAATCGATGTGTCTCTCTCATGTCGACGTTCCCCTCTCTCTCTGTTTCTCTCTCTTTCTCTTTCCCCCTTCTACTCTCTTTGAAAAGCAATGGAAAAAATATCCTCGGGTGAAGATTGAAAACAAAAACAAAAAAGACTACATATAAAGCACACAGAACAATGAGTAGCACATAGTATGCCCTTACTAGTCGGCTTTTATTATTTCCTACCCTTACTCAAAAAACTCCATGAAGCAACCCAGAGAGTCAAAGAAGGTAGATATTTTTTAATCCTATTTCACAAGTTAGAAAACTAGTGATCACAGAGGCTAACTATGCATATGTGATTATGCATCAATTATTAAGTTTCTGAATCCACAACATCTAAGTAATAGTTCATTATCTTTTCTACTGCATTATGCTCCCTTACGGGGAGGGAAGAAAATAAAGGACATTTGGATGCTAAATAATAAAGGCTGCATTGCAGAGAATGGAAAAAAGTTGTTTAAGAGCTGTATTATTTTTCTGTTGCTGCTCTAACAAATGACCACAATCTTAGTGACTTAAAACAACACAAATGTATTGTCTTATGGTTCAGTAGGTTAGAAGCCCAGCACACAAATCTCTCTAGGATGAAACCAAGGTGGGGCAGGGTTGCGTTTGTTTCTGGAGGATTCTATAGGGGAATGCTTCCTCCCTTTTTCCAGCATCTAGAGGCCACCTGCATTCCTCCCTCCACCTTCCTAGCCAGTAACGGTGGGCTGAGTTCTTCACATCGCATCACTTTCTCTTCTGCCTTCCACTTCTACTTTTAAGGACCCTTATGACTACATTGGGCCTACCCAGATAATCCAGGATAATCTCCCTATTTTAAAGTCAGCTGACGAGCAAACTTGATCCTAATTTTCCCTGTAAGGTAACATTCACAGGTTCCAGGGATTAGGATGTGGACAGCCTTGGGAGGACCAGGGGCATTATTCTGCCTATTCTAGAGGAACAGTGAAGTCTATGGGGAGTACTGGCAAGGGGATCCTGCAAATGAAAGGAAGGGGCAGGTGCTTGTGGGCACAGCTTTTCAAACGCAAGTGTTACAGGTATCACTACAAGCTACCTATATATATTAACTCACATAGATCTTGGCATACACTAAAGCCTCTGGATTTTTTTAGTTTTTTTTTTTTTTTAAATCGATTTTTAGAGAGAGAGGAAGGGAGTGAGAGACAGAAACATTGATGAGAGAGAAAAATCATCCATCTGCTGCCTCCTGCACGCCCCTNAACCGGTGACCTCTTGGTTCCTGGGTCAACGCTCAACTGCTGAGTCACACCAGCTAGGCCTCTGGATGTTTTTATATGGCTAAACCAGAATCTCTCCTATTTTGCACTTCTGCAGTTTTATTTTTCAATTTGAACAAACATAGGGATTTTCATATATTTCTATTAAATTTTACTTTAGATTTTAGCTCAGAGCTTAAACTGTTCATATAATTTTGTTTCCAGGTTCAGTCTTCAGTCATATTTTCTATGCTATGTAGGTTTTTTTAATCCTCTGATTTGACCAGAATGATCATTATGACCTCACCTGTATAATTTATGAAAAATTATAAACAAAAATTTGTCTTCCATTATCCAACTAACTTTGTTTATCTAATTAAAATTATATCAAGCTTTTATTTTAGAGTCTCATCCACAAATATCATGAAAGACTAAACACTTTGCTGAAATTAATTTATATCATGACTATACAATTCCCATTTTAACTTTAAGATAAAATTTTTAAAAAGGAGCATAATATGACTTATCTTTAGGTAGTTTGGTTCTCAGTGACCACCAAACTCTCTTGTAACTGTTCATAAAATATACTTAATCATGTTCTCTTGAATTTTACTTTTCTGTTTTAAAGTTTTTAGTGTCTACCTACTAAACAATTTTTAAAAGCAAGTGATCTATTATCTTTTTCATATTTTACAGTTTCTCTGAACCTAACAGCAATGGGTCTTAGGTTACCTGTAAACAGCTGTGGGATGTAATTTGTGCCTGGAACACATGAACTTACTTGAAACAGATAGGTGTTTGCTTACTATCTCCTCACCTATCTTGAGTTTCAGTTCTCTTTCTATGTTGTTTCACCTTTACTACTTTAAAGCCTATTTTTCTTACAGAGTTTTAAGGAAAAACACACACACACAAGTAGAGTCAAGTCTCTTTTTTTTTTTTGCCTTTGCATTATATCGTAAGTCAGTATAGTGCACTCAAGATATATAGGTGTTAATAAAAATCTATGCAGGCTTATTTCTTTTTGCCATCTAATACATTCTTCATTATGGTTAAACCAATCTCCCCATCTTTTCCTTTTGAAAGTAACAGGTAATTACAACCCTCAATGATTTCTCTACATTAATTTATAGTTTGCATCACATAGTTTAACAGTAAAATAAATATTATCTTCCATTTGATACTCTTGTATTTCTTTTTTGGTCTCTCAGAATAATTGTTGATTTCTTTACCTTTTTTTGTTCAGCTGCAAAGTTAGGGTTCTTGCTAAGGAGAATACTAGGCAATCGATATACTCTTGTTGGTTGGTTGAGTTTTTAAACATCAAATTTGGCAAAATATTCTTCAAATATTAATCTCCTTGAATAATTTTTCTGTTTGGAGAAACACAAAGAACGAAAACAATACTTGGACTTCTTTTAAATGTAATAAAAACAGCAACACAATAGTAGTAGTAATAAAAGCCAAACTAAAACTACCTTCAGAAGTCATTCCCTTCTCCAACCCTCCATCAAAATTATTTAATTAAACATTTCCTGAGGCATTTAACAACAATGTCAGCCATATTTGAGATGGTAGCTTGGAATTCTGTTGTTAAAGATGTGGGAGTTTTTCTTTCTACTTTCTCAGTCAAGGCTGTGTTTCTTTATTTGTCTTGCCCTGTTCTAGAAAAAAGGCACCAATTTGAAACTCTTTGACATTAAACCTAACTTAAACCTTGAATTTAGAAACCGTATCACTCTCTTAGCACTTTTAGTTTGTGGAAATGGCAAATGTGTAAAAACAAATAATGTTTAATAGNGGCACTTTATTTTTAGTTTGTGGAAATGGCAAATGTGTAAAAACAAATAATGTTTAATAGTACTATTTTTAAAATGGTATATGGGATTTTTAATGTATTGATAATCATGCAAAATAATGTACTGATAAGACATCAGAAAAAACTGCTCTAACAATTTAGAAGTTTTGCTCTTAATTTTGGCAAAAAACCCCCACAAGAAATCCATTAAACAAGGCTTTGTTTGCAATCAAGTACAAAAGCAACACAAACAGAATCCAGTGCTCACCAGCAGGAGGTTATGGTGTAGGTTGGTGGTTAGAGTAATAAGTCTTAATCTCTTTCTCTACAGAAAATACTGTCAACATTTTGGCTCACTGTTTACTTTGTTCAGCTAGGCAGCTTGTTAAATCTCAATCTACAACTTCCATAACCTATGTGCTCCCCTGTGATTTATTTGTCTAAGAATCTATTAACGAGGCATGGGGATTTAGGTTGCCACCATGACAACCAAGCAGTATGCCTTGTTGTTGGCTATTTCCTAGATACAGAAGCTCCGAGAGTAATATCTTCCCTGCAGAATGCTTGGACCTGGTAACTATGGAAATGTAGGTTAAGATTTTGGGGCTAAATTGTTTACAAGGTACATGCAATCTGACAAGCATCCCACTCAAAGAGAGTAAAGTATGTCATGGCCAATACATTACTCTGCGCTGTCTTTTTATTAAAAGGTCTTTTTCCATATTCTGTTACGTAATTCCCACAACCACATTATCGTAATAGTTTTGTCACTCATTCCATAAGAAGAATTTAATTTTCCCTTTCTTCTATTAAGGTAGATTTTGCTAAGTGGACATTTTGTGGAGATAATAGTAACAACGGTATACATTTTCTTGTATTTTCTCATCGGCAGTGCTAGCATCAACATTTACTTCCTTCTGTGATGCATAAAATCCGGAAATTTAAATTGGTACAAGAAAAAGCCCTTAATTCCACACTACTTACAATCTAACTGTAGAGACAGCGCCTAAGTAAAATGTTATGAACAAGATGGGAGCACGTGTGCCGCTGAGGGGAAAGCGAGATGGTTTTGTCCGGGGGATGAGAGTTTTACAGAATCACTGGGTGCTGGTCATGTTACCTTGAGGCAAGAGTGGAAACGTAAACAGAATGAATGACAGAGGACATCACAAGGCGGAGAAACTCAGGAAGCAAATGCTTCCAGTGCTGGTAGAAGCGATGAGTGGGCTTTCCCACCGTAAGGCGGGTGCAGGCTATTAGTCAGAAGGACAATGGGAAGGGCCGGGGTGAACGCATCATGCAGTAAGGCATTTTTACCAAGTTTGTCTTTGACCCGCATTTACTTACTTGCCTGCCAATTCAAGGCCTCTAATAATGCGTTCTTCTGATAGCCAATAATGTGGACATAATGGAGTATGGGGCCAGGTGGGTGCTTGGGGCCGAGGGGGGCGCACCCTGCAGAGGGCACGGTTTCCCCGCCACTTCGCTGTACATCTGCAGCTGGTGTGGAATGGTTTTGAGTGGAAATCGTGGCTGAACAATATAAATCAGTAAGTAAATAAATAAAATGCAAAAAAAAAGAAAAAAAAGAATGCATTCTTCTGAATTTGTAACTAACATGTTTTAGATATTTCAAGAGAGGGGAAAAAAATTACCATGAATAATTTTCATTCCCCGCCTTCTTCAGGATTCCGGGGGAGTTTCTAGGGCACAACAGTCTATTTCCCTTCCCCCACTGCCGATGCCGGGTGTTGAACCCTCACGGATTCGGCTAAACCTCTTTGAATTTCCTGTTTAACCCATATTCCGTAAAGCAAATGAAACTCGATTCCTTGTGGGGTTTTTTGTTTGTTTGTTTGTTTGGTTTTTTGTAGAGCTTAGCATTGCGACTGTTGGGGAGATTTCGCTTAAATTGGGGACACATTTTTAAAAATGCACGATGTACATGGGATCGACAGAATTGAAAAAAAAAAAAAATTCTTTCAAGTTCACCTCCCTCAAGCAAAGAAATGGGCCCGTCAAGAAATCAGGAGAGGGCAACCTGCAAGGCCAGGGCTGGGAGCGCTTCCCTACGGTCATGGTTGTCCGCCACTTAGGTCACTTCACAAGCACCAGTTTGTCTTCTCCGCAGAAGCGATGGTGTCTCTCAGAGACCATCTGCCTCGGGCCATTTTTTAAAAAAAAAATTCAGAACCTGCCGCTTTCCCAGACTCTCCTGAGAACCCTTCAGGAGCTCAAAGCAGCCCAGGTCGGCGTGTGACGGGGGCGCGAGGCAGCGGCTGTGACAGCGAGGCCGCCGCCCCCACACGCCGCGGGAAGAAGGGGCTGCGGAGGGAACCGGCCCGCAGGCCCCGCCAGGGCCGCTCCGACGCGGGGAAACGCGACACGGAAAAGCAGGGATCCTTACAACTAGCGGCGCCCCGCCGACAGCCGCGGGGACGGCCGCAGGGCAAGGTCACG